AAGTATATAATATACATTAATGAAATTTATGTAATAGAATACAAAATTTTTAGCATATTTCAAATGTTATATCATCCAGCTAGAAATATTAAATTGTGTATTTAAATTACTGGGTCGATTTAATATTAATTTTCGCTGTTCATGTTTATTAATATTCAATTTTATGGCCAGGGAATCCCATTTTGTCTTTGTATTTTTTGTATTCTTACCCCTTTTTCAAAAAAGAATCAGCCCAGTAACTTTTGACTCGCAGCTTCTCATGTACATATTATTCACTAAGTATAAAAATATTAATTTCAGAATATCATCTCAGCATAATGAAACAAAATAATTTTCGTGAAATGAATTTATAAAAATAGCTAATAAATAATATATTATCATCTCATTTGTACTCCGTCCCATCAGAGCAGCTGGCTATGTACCATTAGGTTATGTATATATAGTTACTGTACTAAGCACAAAACACGTAATTATTGTATTATGTAATCAAATTTTTTATTAAATACAAACATTATCTATAACAATCCGTTGAATAAAATTAACGATATTATAGTATTTGAAATTAGTTACCTCAGAGGTGACAACGCATCTGTAGCCTTTTCTTCGAAATTGATTGAAGGTGTTCATGTGCTGCAGTAATCATTTACCATCAGGAAGAATGCCTCGTTTCCAGTAAAAATGGTCTCCGGTTCTCTACACACACTATAGAAAACATAGCAGCATTGCACTGCTATTTTACGTTGGTATGTTGCGAGAGCGTGGTCCTTCCCCGGTAGAGCCGACCCATTCATGCTACAACTGTAATATATCTGCGTCATGGCTTTACCACGTAAAAGCTGTTAAATAATGTGAAAACGATGTGTATATAAGGTAACAACTAGAATATAGAATTTAGACTTAGAATATAGAGTAACGCTGCATCTATATTATGATTGTAGCACGAATGGGTCGGATCGACCGGGGCAGGACCATGTTCTCACAGAATGCTAGCATAAGATAGTAGCTTAACTCTATTGTGTTTCGTATGTTGAGTGTAGAGAACCGGAGACCTTTTTTACTGGAAACGAGGCATTCCATCATAGCCCTCAGAGGTGACAATGCATCGGCATTTTGATTCGTAATCGAGGACAGATGTAGATATCTATGAGTCACGGCAACCATTTACTATTAGGTAGAGTGTCACCCTTATTCTATAAAAAATGTTCTTTTTTTATAGAATAAGGGTGACAAACGAGCACACAGTTCAACTGATGGTAAGTGGATGCTGTAGCCCATAGACATCTATATTTATCTTCAATTAAGAATCAAAATGCAGATGCGTTGCCAGTCCTGAGGACTGAGATGGAATTCCTCGTTTCCAGTAAAAGGGTCTCCGGTTCTATACAGTTACCATACGAAACACAGCAGTATTAAGCTGCTATTTTACGCTGGTATTCTGTGAAAGCTTGGTCCTACCCCGGTGGACCACGATCCCAACCCATTCGTGTAGCAACCACAATATAGCTACAGCATGGCTCTACCACGTAAAAATGTCATACCTATCTAAGTATTTATTTGAAATTCAAGCTTTTATAACGTTATACAATGGTTATAGCGTGACGTAGGAGCTCCGGGCGTGGTCGATGGTGTCCTCGTGGGAGTTGTCAGCTTTGGCTCCCCTGTGTGTGGTACACCTGACGCTCCAACCGTCTTCACTAAACTTGGCTATTATAGCAACTGGATTAAACGAATAATGGAATTGGTATGATCTACTTTTTTCTTTTCTTTTAAGCTGTTGTCTATTAACAAAAAGTAGGTATTAGATTATAGTCAATGCAGGCAAAGGACCATGCAGCTCACCTGATAGTAAGTGACTACCGCCGCCCAAGAACAGTACCAGGGGAATTGCAGTTGCGTAGCCGACCTTTGAAAAAAAGTAAGCTCGTTTTTTGAGAGTTCCCACGTCGTACCTATTGACCCAGAAAAATCGCTTGTAGTAGTCAATTCCACAAGGAAGAAAACTTCTGTTAAATTGCGCAGTGGTGGTCCGTCAATCGTCTAGATGGTATGGATGGTATTGCGAGTTCTATCGTGACGTGCGATATTTATTCGAATATTAATTTATTTAAGGTTAATCTAGTAAATATTAGCCTTTTTTTTGAACGATTGACGTTTAGCGGCGGTGTAAGAATACCCAATAAGCCGTGTCGTCCCGGGGGTGTCGTAAGATGCGACAGACGGAAATAAACCAGAAGATGCAGAGTTTTGCTGAGTATCGTACAGATTATTAACGAAAAGTTGCTGTCAATCCGCCTGTCAAGCGTGGTAACTATGGTAAATACCCTCTATATGAGGGCAATCTGTGGGCTAGGCTTTGGTTCAGCATTGGACTTTTATTTGTCGTTATGATGAAGCTTTTCAAAGATTCCACTTTGAGCACGCGTATGCGCTTTTCTGCACGTATTTTTTATAGAACAAGTGTGACAGTCTCAGTCAGTCTCACTCAGTCAGACTCAGTCTACCTGTGTGAAACGTACCTAACCTGCCTAAGTAAATGTTGTGGTTCGTAAATATATATCCATCTTCGATTAAAACGTAGATGCGTTTTCACCCCTGAGGACTACGATAAGTAAATTGTTGTCGATTTAAAACAAATGAGTAAATATTAATTAACTTTTTTGACTTACTCCATGTGCACAAACCTTATAAATAGTTATTTTGTTAACTGAAAAAGGAGGAGCAAACTACTGAAGACGTAAAATCCACTAATAATTATCTATGCTATGCATCACAGAAATCTAACAGACTTTTTCAAGAAACACTTTTGTGAGGGTATCAGGTCACCAAACTTTATCCCCAGCATGCTGAGTATAGGCAAATCTTTTTTTTTTTATAGAATAAAGGGTAACAAACGAATACACAATAGAATAGACTAGAGTAGAATAGAATCATTTTTATTCTCCTATTGTGTATTTATGAATACCCCTGTCCTGGGAAAAATCAGCAAGAATTCCACCGGATTTTATATTAAATAAAATTAATTTGTACTTCTTTATTATATACAATTAGTACAAAAACATTTAGAAACAGTATGGTAGCGATCAATCACCTCATTCCCAGGGATTATTATCGATCATGTCCCCATTAATAGTATAATGACTCTTACTAAACAAGTTTTAAACTTTTTGTAGAGATTTTCTGGGACTTTGTTGTAAAAGCGTATACATTTTATATATGGTAGAGCCACGCTGCGGCTATATTATAATTGTAGAACGAATGAGTCGGCTCAACCGGGAAAGGACCACGCTTACGCTTAATACTGCTGTGTTTCGGATGGTAAGTGTGGAGATACGGCGACCAAAAAAGGACTAAGATGGAATATCTCATTTTTGGTAAAAAGGGTCTCCGGTTTTCTACACTCATCATACGAAACACAATAGCGTTAAGCTGTTATCTTATGCTAGTATTCTGTGAGAACGTGGTCCTGTCCTGGTCGATCCGACCCATTCGTGCCACATGTGAAACAGCAGGAATAAGTTGCTATTTTATGTGAGAATTCATCATCACATTTTGTTCCGTGGGGGTCGTAAGACCTTACGGGATATACCAACAAAATCTTATGGCTGGTGATATATGTGGATAGTTATATGCGTTGGAGCAACGCTGCAGCTATATTATAGTTGTAGCAAGAATGGGTAGGCTTGACCTTGGAAGAATCCTGCCAATTGTGGTGAGGACGTGTGCTCCAGAGTTGGCACCGGTTTTAACGCGTCTTTTCCGGTACTCCTACTCCCTAGGCGTAGTCCCAAAATCATGGAAGACGGCTTTCGTCCACCCGATCCCTTAAAAAGGCGATCGCTCAGACCCGTCCAACTACCGGCCTATCGCCATCACCTCCTTGTTCTCCAAAACAATGGAGTCTATTGTTAACTGCCAGCTCATGAGGTACCTTGAGGATCACCAGCTGATTAGTAATCGCCAGTACGGTTTTCGCCGTGGTCGGTCAGCTAGTGATCTTCTGGTCTACCTAACTCACAGCTGGGCGGACGCAATAGAGTCCAGGAGGGAGGCATTGGCCGTTAGTTTGGACATTGCGAAGGCCTTCGATCGGGTTTTGCACAAAGCGCTTCTTTCTCCGCTCCGATTACATGCCTATTAATGCTGGTGTTCCACAAGGCTGCGTGCTATCGCCAACGCTGTTTCTTCTGCATATCAATGATATGTTGCAAACCCGTAACATTCATTGCTATGCAGATGACAGCACTGGTGATGCTCTTTACACCGGCCGAGCCAATATTTCTCGGGAAAACGTCTCCGAGTGCCGGGACAAATTTGTGTCTGAAGTCGAGTCTTTGCTGAACAGAGTCTCGGATTGGGGGCGACTAAATCTAGTCCAGTTTAACAAGTTTGCGCGTTAACCACAAAAAACCCCTTTGTCGTATCTCTTCAGTTTCAAGTCACTCCCCTTGTTGCCTCAGCCAGTATCGGAATCCTTGGCGTCGACATATCGAGTGACGTGCAGTGGTTACTTGGAAGAGAAGGCCAAATTGACCTCTAAAAAGCTTGGCGTGCTCAGCAGAGCGGGACAGTATTTCATGCCGGCACACCGCCCGCAACTTTACAAGGCGCAGGTTCGGCCGCATATGGAATACTGTTCCTATTTCTGGGCTGAAGCTCCCCAGTACCACCTCCTTCCACTTGAGCGCACACAGCACACAGCGCAGAGCGACTCGAATCGTCGACGACCGAGTGCCTTCCGATCGTCTCGATTTACTGGCGCTGCGAAGAGATGTTGCATCTCTTTGTGAATTTTATCGCATCTATCACGGGGAGTGCTCTGAAGAATTGTTCGGATTACTACCAGCCGCCAAATTTCGTGAACGCACTACGCGGCAAACGTCCCGATACCATCCACACCATCTCTTCTATAAAAAAAAAGATAGATAAAGAGAGAGATAGATGTTTCAATAGTCTTTCAAATTTTTAAATCACCATTTCAAATAACGAAACCCCTCCTAAAGATGTCAAGCAGCTTATTTAATAAATTAAAACAGGTAAATAGCATAATGATTTCTTATATTTACGCGAACACTACACATTGAGATAATACTAGTTTTTACGGAATTTATCGCGTATATTTTAACTTTTTAAATACCCGACGTTTCGAACGCTTTACAGCACTCATGGTCACGGGCAGGACTGAGATGTTCAACGTCCATATGTCATAGTTAACCGCGGTTACCATAGATTAAAATTTAACTTTTGTTCCGATCTATGCAGTATGAACTTATGGTATCTTGAAGTCTTGCAGTTGTATGCTTGGGTTGGGATTTAATTTTATTTATTATAGGATCCCAAGCAGATGGTAGCACCCAGCCATCTTCTCTATTGAAATTAGGATGTTTTTTGATTTCAATAGCCTCGCGAATCATCCTTGGAAGGAATCGGTGTTCTTTAGCGAGGATCTGCGGTCTATCAAATCTGATGTAGTGACGGGGGCGATCCTGTACGTGTTCACAGACTGCAGACTTCCCGGAGCGTCGATTCTTCACATCAGCTATATGTTCTTTAACGCGGGTTTTTATCGATCTTTTAGTTTGTCCTATGTAGGAGAGACCACATTCACAATCAAGCTTGTACACTCCTGCATCTTGCAGAGGGACATTACACTTGACCGATGGTAAAAACTGACCAATCTTCTTCAGCGGCTTGAAGTATGTTTTGATGGAAGCGCGCTTCAAGATGTAGCCAATCTTGTCAGTGACTCCTCTAACATATGGCAGCACAGCAGGTACACGCTGTTATGTTATCCTTCACAGTTAGCTACCGTGGGTAAATCTTTGTTTCAGAGAGCACGAGGGATCTGTGACAGTAAACACCTGGCTGCAGAGCTCCACCATGTCAAGCAAGTTTTGCATGACAACAAGCTTCGAGTCCCGCGCCTACGTCACAGTGAACGAGTGAAGCCGGCCACAGTCGAGCGTGTACCTGCTGTGCTGCCATATGTTAGAGGAGTCACTGACAAGATTGGCTACATCTAGAAGCGCGCTTCCATCAAAACATACTTCAAGCCGCTGAAGAAGATTGGTCAGTTTTTACAAGCTTGATTGTGAATGTGGTCTCTCCTACATAGGACAAACTAAAAGATCAATAAAAACCCGCGTTAAAGAACATATAGCTGATGTGAAGAATCGACGCTTCGGGAAGTCTGCAGTCTGTGAACACGTACAGGATCGTCCCCGTCACTAACAGATTTGATAGACCGCAGATCCTCGCTAAAGAACACCGATTCCTTCCAAGGATGATTCGCGAGGCTATTGAAATCAAAAAACATCCTAATTTCAATAGAGAAGATGGCTGGGTGCTACCATCTGCTTGGGATCCCATAATAAATAAAATTAAATCCCAACCCAAGCATACAACTGCAAGACTTCAAGATACCATAAGTTCTTACTGCATAGATCGGAACAAAAGTTAAATTTTAATCTATGGTAACCGCGGTTAACTACGACATATGGACGTTGAACATCTCAGTCCTGCCCGTGACCATGAGTGCTGTAAAGCGTTCGAAACGTCGGGTATTTAAAAAGTTAAAATATACGCGATAAATTCCGTAAAAACTAGTATTATTTCAAGGTAAATAGCATTTAGTTGTATTCAGATTGACCAGAACACAACTAAATGCTATTTACTCATTGCGTAATAATACTATTATTTTTGCCAAATGTACGGTTACAAGAAAAACAAATTGTAATTTTTTTTATAGGATGTCGCACATGGTAAAAAGAGAACTACATTGAATTACGATTTCTATCCCTCGCAACCTTCACCATTTTCCACGACAACATTTAAAATAAACCCATTGAAAAAAGGAGAAAAACCACCTAGTTTTGCAACTGAAGAAGAAAATGATTTGCGAATTCGTGATGATAAGTTGTTCCCAGAATTTCTGACAAGCATGTTTGACAGTAACCAAAATGTTTTGAATCAACTAGGAAATGGCATTGCTCGTGAAAATAAAAATAATAAAGTCGAAAAAGAGATGATAAATCCAATAACCAAGGGTTATACTACTGTTTCAAAGAATGGTAACTCTTATAAATTACATATTCCAATTACTGTCGGATATGCGACGGAATCCGAAGAATATGTTTCGGCCACAGCATATGTGCCTAAAATTAATGATGATTTTGAAACTCAGGAGTATTTTTCTGGGACAGAATATAGACCTGAAGCTCAAGAAACATACCATAAAACAAAATATATTCCATTGCAAAAACACACTCCGAAGATTGAGAGGCAATTGCAAGTAACTAACTATGTTCCTATCAAAGAAAATCACTTCCATAGACCAACTACTTCTAAGACGATTGATACACCTAAAGAAATATCCTTAGAAGTTACATCAGAATCTAGTGATGATTCAAATAATTCTGATCAATTTCAGTCTGATATTAAAAATGCGGTATCTTTTAACAAAAGTTCAGAAGATGCTTTATCAGGAGATATTAGTGATGTTCCTGAAGAACAAGCTATTGCGGAACTTTTAGATGAAATAGATTTAAATCAAATATTAAAAGACATATCGCCTAATTTGACCATCTCAACAAAATCATCATTCCAAAGCCTTTTGAAGGATTCGACTAAAAGTAGATTTGTTATTTCCAACACAACGACGGAGATCCCGGAGTTCGAGAATAATGATAATAATAATAACAATCTTAGGAACTTCTATATTCAAAATCATGTCAAGGGAGACAATGATTCAGTACTGAATTCAATGTATTTATCTGATACTGAAGAACAAGATAAAACTAATCAGTATATCGGAGACGTTGGTACGGTAAACGGCAAAAAATACGAAAGAACGAAAGAAAAGACATCTCCCCTCAAGAAAAATTCGGTATCAAGAACCTGTAAGGAATGCAATAAAATGTACAACCTTGTACCTAAGAGTCAGTTGTACAACATAATTTCACAAGTTTTAAGAGCCGCTAACATAAATAAAAATATTGATACTTAGAATTTTTTCATTTTCCGTTCATGTGATTTTCATTAGATGAGTTATGATGAGACTAAGATATTTGACAGCCCGATGTCACAGTTAGCCCGCATACTTTTAGCTATGTTTGGGTTTAATTATAGGATCCCAAGCAGATGGTAGCACCCATCCACATTCTCTATTGAAATGATGGTTTTTAATTTCAATAGCCTCGCTGATCATCCTTGGTAGGAATAGGTGCATTTTTTCGAAGATTTGTAGTTTTTCAAACCTGATATAATGGCGGGGATTTTGAACATGAGCGTCGGTGCTTCATGTCAGCTATGTTCTTTTACGCGAGTTTTTACAGATTTTTTTTCATTTCATCAGTAGCATTAAATTAATAAAATTCAAAAGGTCGATTTATGGTAATAAAATAAAGGAACTTACAACAAAATTGACTTGTAGTCAAAGCGATTAAATGGATTTTAAAGTACGAGGTATCATTAAATTCCCACAGTTAAGATAAATATCACGTATATTTGTAATTACGAGTATGTACAGGACAGGATTTTAGTGCCCAAGTATATGTGCAAACAGAGGAGCACTCTTTATTCTCTTACTATCATAGTCCTATTGAACGGTAATCCGTCAGACCAGACAGAGAAATTAGCGCTGGACCTACGGCCTTTTTACGTGCTTTCCGGAGCACGGGGGGTGAAACATCGGCAAATTGCTGACTCCGGGATGTTACTGCGAATTTCTTGACGGAAAAATCCAATAAAATATTTTGGCCTGACCGGGATTCCGGACTTCATAATCAGAAATCACAGTAATGACTACTAGACCAACGAGGCAGTCTATAAGTCTCATTTAAAGGGGTGTGTCAGGATCGTGCCAAATGTAAGTCCGCAGTCTCTGTTTACCTCTCTGGGTAACAGAGAGAGTTTATGTTATGTTTAGAAAAGGGAGTTAATTGAACAGAAAAGCAATAAATGGAAACAATCATTTATTCATATTTTTATATAAAACAATTTTTCAACATAAACACAATCTCCATTCAATGAACTTCGTCACAAACACATTTCATATGTATATTAGGAATAATAGACAAAACTACATAACATAATATCACTTTACATATTTAAGTACCTTTTAAGTACTTTTTTGTATTTTGTTTTTATTATTGAAGAGGAGAAAAGTTAGATAGTAAGCAAACTAAATAGGCAACTAATTTGAATAGGTTAGATCTTGTTTCACTTTCTGGATCAAATTAATGAAATCTAATATGGACATACTCAAGGGGTGGCGAGGTTTGTTTAGATGTAATAGTATTGCTGTGCTTTATCGTTGGCTTGTGCCTTTACCTCAAAACTAAAACTCAAAAAATGCAAGACCTATGAACTTTTTGTATTCAGATAGATATTTAATATGCATCATATTATATGACAGTGCAGGGAACAATATGTAAATTACGAGACATTTGGTACTAGGTTCATCTGTTAATGGTTGCGGCTATAAGTAACAAATACATATCTGTTTAAAATTAATCGTCATAATTATTGCCAAACATAAGACAATGACGGAACGCTGAGTATTGGCGTTACAGCACTGCATAGTTTACGGCCACTATTGACACTAATATGTTATTAAGCGGTATAAGAAAGTATACGGAAACTTATTTCCAAATGTACTAGTATAAAGTGATATTTATTTTAAAAGCTTTGCACCTTTTGGCTGACAATAATGCTAATGATGGTCTTTAAGGGTCTACCCACACACCACAATCCACTCCACAACCACAACCACAACTCGTGGGCAGGCGCATTTTGTATTGGAAATGAATAGTACAATTTAGATGTACCACATTTTGAAGTCATTATCGATTACGTGAGTGATACCGACCACGACGTAACCACGACGCAACCACTACGGAACCACACGGAACTAGCGGCCGGTCACATCGCAAACACATTGCGTCGACGCCACGACTAGGGATGCAACGCAAACACACCACAACTGCAAAAAGCTGCAGCGACACTATTCACACATGACCACATTTTGTCGCTGCTATGTGGTGTGGTTGTGGTACGTGTGGGCCGACCCTTATATGACTGAAACAATTGTTTACGAAATCTCACATCATATTAAATATAGGATATCTTTTTATATATGTGTGTGGTATATATATTCTGACTTCTACTATTTTGACTTCTTAAGTCTAAAAATAATAATAGGATAATAGTAAGACTATAACCTATATAACTATTTTTTTTATAACAAAGATAGACGGAGTGCAGTTTACTTTTCAAGTGATGCCGAAACCATACTTAACTTCTTGACACATTTCTCTTCTTTCTTTATTGACCTATAACTGTATTGTTAGTTGCAAATAATTTTAGATCATAACGTGTGTACGACTCGTACGTACTCGTACTCGTACTCGTACGTGAGTGCGTGTTCGTACATTAAGTTTAGCATGGTTTTGGCTTAGTTTTTGCGTCACGTAAAATGTACGCAGTGTCGCATCTTTCTTAATCTTTCTTTGTTGGTCTGAAATCGAAAGACAATATTATAAAAATATAAATGAAAATTAATAATATAATGAATATTATAAAATTAAAAATATGAACACTCTATAATTAGTAACTTAGACGAAATTCGACTATAAATTACGATAATGCAAAAATAAGTAGACAATTAAAGTTTTTTAATAACTTTTTGAAATTAAATTCGAGCTTGAAATAAATTTCGAAGCTTTAATCATACCATGAACAATAAAAATAACTTTTAGTGTCAGAAGACAGTTGTAAATATTAATTTCATTTAGCAATGAAAAATAATAACCATGGTATAGTGGTTTACTATATTAGTTATAGCTTTTAACATTGGATTTATAAAAAAATAGCACTATTTTTACCGTGAGATATATTACCAATTAAAAAAAACGTTAGATGCTTGTGGATCGTACATGAAATAATAAAATCTTTGGGGACTGCTCGTGAACTTTTGAAAAAGGGCACTCTGGTAATGACATCGCGGCACAATGCTGAGTCGGTTGCCATTTTGTTGCTGACGATAATGTATCTAATATTATAAATTCATGTGGTGCAATAATGTTTACGTAGCTGCAAATAAAGATGTTTCTTTCTTTCTAACGTTACCGCTAACGACCAGAGTCGAAATAAAAACGTGTTGGAGAGCAGGTCTTTGTAACGACTCTGGTCTGGAGAAACAGGACGCAGGTACGAGTAAACCTCAAAAGCTACAAGTAACAGGCAGCAGCTGAACATTGTGATTATCTGCTCTTTGCTAACAACGATAACATCTATAATTAATGATGATGTCTTTTTCCGTAGGATATGGGTTTGTTACCTCTTTGGTCTACTTGACATAGATTTATAAAGAAAAATAACTCGATAAAACGCTATTTTTGCTTTTGATTTCTACAAGAATAAGTATTTATAATTATATATTCTTTAGAGTTTCCTACATTTCCACAAATAGAAGAGTATGTAGAGATAAAATGTCATTCGAAGAGCGCTTACGTTATTTATTTTAAAGCTAATTCTGATTTACAATGACACCCAAAGCGACATAGAAATATATAGATAAATTGGTTGATACATTTACACTAAAATATTGAACTTTATTCCTTATAGTAATCATAAGAAAATTTCTTAGGAGCTACCGGCTCCATACATATAATTTGTGAACAATTTTCTGATAAATAACGAACACACGACTAAAATCATTACTGTTATTAAATTTTAGTATAGTTATAACCTCAGATTTGAATTTATGAAAGTGACATTTAAAAAAAAGAGATTTTTTACATGTACGTTACACATACGTACGTACGTTTTTACATTTTACACGTAGTTTACGATTGTACCACGCGCCATTATAAAAACGGCATTATGAAAACTAAAAATTACGTACTTTTATAATCTTCAATTAAATATAGTATACATACATATATGTGCAGTTCAATATAGTATACTTACACATATAAATTTCCTAAAAATTGTTCACGTATTATATCAATAATACACAATTAAAAAATATTCTATGACTTATTAACATCGATATTTTTATTACGTTTATACAAATTTGTGTTTATTTAATTCTTCACAATACTTTTTAACATGCTATGTAATTAGGCTTAATACTTCTTTTATTTATCTTCTAAATTTTATGCACCATTTCAATAAATAATATTTTTCTAGTAAATGAAAATTTATATTTTTTATTCATGCAAGATCATTATAAGTCATATAGACTTAAATTTTAATTAAATAAAAATCTACTAAACCTTGGCAGTAAGTGCTTTTACTCGTTAATGATTGTTTAATAGTGTTAAAAAATGAGGAACAAACTATGTCTTTCTATTCATGTATGTTTAATAAAAGGTAATGAATGACGTATTAATTATTTTCAAATTAAGGATAGTCTACGTGATCAAGATCTAATACTAAAACGCAACTTATACGTATTGATTATACAAAAAAATGGAATTTTTTATTCCGCAGAACTTTTTCCAGTTAAAAGGTCTTAATAGGTTATTTTACCTTTCAATTCGTTTTCAATTGGTTGACACTTCGTCTCTTTTGCGTGAGAGATCCGTTCTTAAATGGATCTCGTTACCTAGTTTAATAAATTTAGTCTCTCATGACCTACTTCACAGTTAGATATTATACGCACACGTTTAGAATAAGATAGCAATATTCGCTGATTATACCGCAACCACTATTCTTTTACTGCCAAAGAATAATGAAAACATAGCTTTTTAAGTAGGTAATGTGAATTTAAAAAAAATTGATAGGTGAAAGTGGTACGATTTTATTTACTAATTGTCTTCGCATATGGACGATGTAATAAGTGCTTTGAAGACGATTCAAATCCCAAATTATATTTATCTCCTAAGGCGCTTTGAGATACTATCGTTATTAACTGTCCACCAGGCTAGAATCTTCAAACACTACGCAAATTGACGCGTTAGCATATTGTGAAGAATTATGTTAACTAAATACACGTCATACTAGACTGTATGGTATGGGAGTAGATTCTTTGCGTTCAAATAATAAAAAAACAAACAAACAAGTGCAATTTCGTAACTGGTGGGAATTATTTGATCAGATATATTTTATTACTATTACTTCGTAATCTAAAATACGATAATGATAAAAAAGAAATGATTTATTTTGATACATTTACACCATTAAACGAAATCAAACACAAAACAAACAACATATTTACACAATCGTACTGTTAATATTTCAGATCAAAAATAAGAAATCATATAATACTAGGCTGCACTAAAAGTATCGGGAATGGAATATTTCCACTGTTCCTGACATATTAAAATCTTTTTAATTGAAAACTCCTTGGATTTAAAAATCGAATACCATTTATTTATTTAAAAAAAGATTGTCGGTCTTGTCACAAGATTTTGTATATAGATTACTGACTATATACTAGAGATTTTGTCAAACTTATTTAGTCGTTGAGAAAATGGAATTGACTCGAGAAAATTCAAGAGCGATGATTTATTACCTATGACTTTCGAAGTGGTTTAACACAAAAACAGTGTGTTGACCGGATGATTTCTGCATTTGGTGATGAAGCTCCATCCAAAACCACAATTTATCGCTGGTTTGCTGAATTTCTACGTGGACGTGTCAAGCTTGTTTTTTTGCCACAGGTCGTTTCTGAACTCCGTAAAGAGAACTGCAACCGCCGCATCATCCTTCATCACGACAATGCGAGTTCTCACACCGCACACAGAACAAAAGAGTTTTTAGTGCAAGAAAACATAGAATTATTAGACCATCCGCCGTACAGTCCCGACCTAACCCCTAGTGATTTCTATACATTCCCTAAAATAAAGAATAAATTGCGTGGACAGAGATTTTCACCACCTGAAGAAGCTGTGGACGCCTACAAAACGGCCCATTTGGAGACCCCAACTTCCGAATGGAATGGTTGCTTCAATGAATGGTTCCATCGTATGGAAAAATGTGTCAAATTTCGCGGAAAATACTTCGAAAAGCAATATATACATTTTTAAATAATGTTGTGTCACTTCCTTGATTCCCGAAATTTTCAGTGCTGCCCTCGTATTATGTTATTACTAAGTTATATATATTTTGTTTTATTTTTACAATGTTCCAAGTTTCCAATTTTAACATATTTATAAAATATGCGGCTTTATTTGAAGAAAAAACACATAGAATTGAAATAAGTGTAAAGTTGACGAAGCAGTTGGAAAGTTTAGAGCATTGTCTCAGCATATAAATATTTTAATAATATTTCGCCATATTACTCGTACTCGAAATATTACTTTGACTATTATATAATACCGTATATTTTTTAATGAAAGAATGTAATTAGTTGTATTTTAATTTTAATTTACGTGTTGACGTGTGATTTTTTATCATTAGGTTTAATTTAGTAAGTATTTATTTACTAAAATATTGTTAATAGTCATGCAGAATTTAAATAACATCAATGTTTTTTTTTTTCATTTAATTTTATTCTCGATGTAAATATTATTTTATATCATTAATTTCTTAATATATAATTTAGAATTTCCAACATTATTTTGCGTCATAAAACTCTTTATGAATATTTCTGGAAAATGCCTTTGATTTATTTAAGGTTTGTATCATTTAATTATTTATTTTAAACTGAAGCATGTGTATAATCTATCAAGCTATTTTTATCTCTATGCCATAAGGGACCGGTTGACATGTGATTCCTTAAAGTTAAGTTTCAAAAAGACGCGGGAATGAAGGCATCCACGATTTCATTTTTTTCCACTAGGACTGCGTTACTTAGATTACTAAGGTGAAATATTTGACATGAAGGTAGGAAGAAAAATTTGTTAGAATTTGTAAATTTTACTTAAATTATCTAATATACCAAATTTTAACGTTTGTTCGTATTTTATGCGCTACCATACCGTTCATCAGATTGCGGTAAAATTTCGCAACTTAGTGGTTGCACCTGTGCGTAGATTAACACAGGTAACAAATACCGCACAGAAAAAAAAAAAGTATTAAAAACTAAGAATCAAACCAATGATGCACTGTTTTGTGTATTTATATACTATAGAAAGGAACCGAAAAACTTTTATTTTAAACGCAACTTCTCAAATAAAATGACATTATACAACACAATAACTTCACCTCAGTTACAACTACCTACATCTGGTGAGCGGAAGATTAATAAGCCCTCACTGAATCTTGTCTTATTTACTTTTCTTTTCTTCGATTGTTCTAGAAGAAAGGTACGTCGCGTACGTATGTAAGTCTTTTATACGTAATACAAGTAATTAATTATTAATCACGCATAATCAACTCTCAATGTCTATTTTAATCAAGTAGTATTATGTTACTGTGGTATAAAGTAACAATTTTTCTTTATAAATGGTGATTCTAGGCTGCACGGGTGCAACCCATCGGCTAATGACTAGTCGCGAAATGGAAAGAGCCCCCCCACCCCACCGGCGTCCCAATCGGCAAGCTCCACGGGGCCAAAGCACTCGTCGAAGAATTGCTCCATTGTTTTATGGAGATGGATGTACGATCGCTCGAAGTTATGTCCTTCATCTGGGTATACCTGGAACAATAAACCACACTATACGATACTTTACCACTTAGGGACCTCCCAGACAAGAGCCTACGCTTTTTAAAAGGCCAGCAACACACCTATAATTTTCCTAGTGTTGCAGTTGTTCATGATATTTACCATCAAGTGACCCACATGCTTGTTTGCCCGGTCAAGAAAAAAGCACTAAGTATTTGGCATTATTGAATAACTCCAGTGGTACTAAAACGTAACTATGTATATCGAAACATTTGAATGAATTGTTATTTGTATTATAGTCGTTTATAGGCTAACGCTTCTTTACGTTTTAAAAGTTATTTTGTTTATCCGCCCTAAAAAATCAACCCCTAGGGCGGATACTCAGAAATGCATGCTAACGCTCCACCTTGAGAGTTAAACAATTTTTGTTCTATAAAATAATTTTACCTATAAAATGAAGTAGACGTCGCTATTACAAAGCGATCTTAGTCGAAGGAAAATATTCTTTTAATTTAATACAATAAAATTTAATATACATAGATATAAAAATTACATTTAAAAAATAATATACATACTACATGTCTAAAAATAAGGATTGTAACAATCATGTGCTATAAAATTAAACTTTTATCTTATATTTTACGCCACACTTGTGGTTGAAAATTATAAAATTGTACTGGGTGACTATTTACCGACTGGAAAAAATAAAGTGTCACAGGCACTGTTATTGTTATTGTTAAGCAATTTTACAAAAAATAAAAATATTTTTTTTTAAATTTTAATATATAAATCAAACCTTTTGTTAGATAAGACAATGAATTCAGTAAGCCTCTTTGTTATTGTCCTTTCGCAGGGTCACAGGCTCAAAGGCAAAGCCGCCCGCACTCTCAACCCTCATTTCAGTTACCCGTGAGATTAGCTGCGGCGTGACGTCGCGTCTTTTTCGTATTGTTTATGTTTCCGTGTGTATATCGTAAACATGTACTAATAATGTGATGTCCAGTATCTTACAGTGACGAAATTTTATGTCTTGTCTGGTGAAAACTTAGACGGTGAGACGAATCGATTTGTGCCCGTGGTGGAATTTACAACGTGCACAAAATCCACACAAAATCAAAGAACATACTCATCAAGTTCGTTTCAGTGTTAACGTTAAAATTAAATAAATAACGGCAATCATTAACAACCACACCATTGGTGCAATATGGATTGAAGGTCGATTGATGGGAGTAACGTATCTGCAAATGACGTATACGTTTCGTCATCGACACAGTGTTGGAAAAAGTTACTCTGAGCTATCTGAAAGGAATGTATTTCAAATTTTATTACGAACGATCTGTGTGCGTATATCTGGACAGCTAATTCGGTGATAATAATAATAATAACAATTATTATTGATTTTCTCATCACATTAAATTAACAATATCGAATTTTGCCAAATAGAAGGCAAAAATTAATGTGTAGGACTGATGCATAAACTAGGCGACGAACCTGTATTTCAGGTTCTCAGGTCTCCCTCCCAGTTGACAAATACAAAAGTATGTAATTTTAGAATACGTGTTTTAATAATCATGATACGTTATAATCCATTTACTTGTGTTGAGTATTATTATAAGTAAATATTAATAAAGTTATCTTGATGGAATAAGAGAGAGTTCCTTGTTAACTTTATAATACAGGTATCTGCCAAGATAGCAAAAAAATCTACTAGAGAAGTAGGTATAATACACCCCCGGTCTTTGCGTCTCGTGTGTTGTGAATTTTTTGGGTCATATTTTAATGGAGCATGTTTTTTTAGGACTGTGTACTCGTACCTATATAATAAACAGTTGCCGGAGTGTAAGAACTTTGAAAATTTTATAAAGTTGGCTGGTTGGAAATTGGTGATAGGTGGACAGGTCGCGGTGGACCTGTGAATCGGCCGGTAAGATCACCAGACCTAACACCTCTAGACTCTTATTTGTGGGCCGAACTAAAACGATTAGTATATACAGAAGAAGCACAAAGTGTAAGTGATTTAAAGAGGCATAATAGACGCATTTTATGTGATAAAAAGTGATAGAGACACGCTTCGAAGTTAAACAAACAATTTACAAAGACGTGCTAGTTGTTGTTTAGAAGGAAACGGTAGACATTTTGAATAATAACTGCGATATCGTTAAAAAGGTAATTTTTATTTGCAAATAACATTAATGTAGTATAATTTTGTAAATATCAATCAGTGTAATTTGTAATTAATATGATGTCGATCTCTTAAATACGCTAAGATGTTGCAGTATACGGTAGTCACAAAAATTATCATTAGAAAGTGTAAGCTTTGTAATGCAAGATAAAATTTTACATGTAATTCTACTCTCCTACATCATATTTGACGGTCCTAAGCCCGTAAAAGTATGAAGGAAAGATCAAAATCACTAAAATAATAATCTGAAACGAAAGGTAGCTTTTTGCTATTTGCCAACATGCGACACGTGGCGTCATTATTAATGAAAGAGTGGCAAAAAGAAGTGCTGCCATTTTAAATCTCTTTCTTTTATCGACCAAGTATTTTACTATCGACCAGTATATGTTGAACTTGCATTAGTAGGCTGCAACTGTTACTGGGAGGTCTACTTACACTGAACTATTTAAGGCCATTGACATAATGCGCGAACGTCGTAAGATGAATTGTTTTTATGTATTTTTTTGGGTATTCTGAAATTTTGCCTATCTAGTTATATTTTATTATATTTTACAAATATTTTCGAAGATAGATTCTATTCCATTTACACAAAACACCATATTATTTTCCACACAGTAAAAATAGTCACCCAGTATAAATCATTTGTCGTGAAATATTTCTGTTTTATATTTCATTTCATTTAAAGGTTTCACTTCTACAGCGTGTGAACTGCACACATGTTTTTTTTTAAATAGAATAAGGGTGACTAACGAGCACACACACCAACGCTTGATGGTAAGTGGATGCTGTGACCCTTAACATTTTGTACATTACTTGTGTTATCCCTTAGGACTAAGATGGAATGCCTCGTTTCCAGTAAAAAGAGTTTACAGTCCTCTACACTCACCATACGAAACACAACAGTCGAGAAGACCTTTTTTATAATAGAACCATAATATAGCTGCAGGGTGACTACCACGTATAAAAATGAACGCCCATGTTTTTTTCATTCTTTTTTTAAAAACATTACCTCCAGACTAATATTTTTTCATGTATCGTGAGGGAAGTTTTCATACCTACATAAATTTTCACGAGAACAGGCATCCAGAACGGGAACACTTATTTGTAAGCCATTCAAATACTTGTTCCGTGCGTGAATTGAATCAAACATTGTTAAGCTACTGTGCCACGCAGCCGTCAAATTAAATCCATTATTCCTGAAACCCTGCTTTTTACAACTGGTGAAACCATTGCGATTTATTTTTAATTATTTATTTAACTTCATATACACATTAGACGTATATAGGCGGACTTAATGCCTGAGGCATTATCTACCAGTCTACCTTAGAGTAGTGCAGAGATAAAAGTATAATAAGTCATGGTAATATATATATATATATATAATATATATATATATATATATATATATATATATATATATATATATATATATATATATATATATATATATATATATATATATATATAATAAGTCATGGTCAGGTAGGGTTTTTTCTGCTAAATAGAATTTAGAATGTATCTCTCAGATTTACAGAAAAGTTAATCTTGGTAACATTATTATTTTATTTCATTTACTTTTATTATTTGGATCACTCATCCAAAAATAATTTAATCCCACGTAAGCCACTATTCTTATTCCATCAGCATGGTTTTCAAGTTTTTTATTTTGTTAGTGACATCTCAGCGGTTTTTATTAACGGACACGGTGTTTAACTTTACAAAACATTTGAAGCCAACTGCTGCGGTCCGACTTTCAAAAACTTTCTCAGGTCGTTTAATTCGTAGTTTCAAATCCCTTTCAATATGAGTTCCGTTAAGTATGCTCCAGGGCTCTCATCTGAGCTCTGCTAAGCTGTCATGTAAATGAATTCTGCGCCGAAATTAAGTCATAATTTTAAATGTTTGCAGTCGAATTAAAAAAAATATAGAGAAATTAACTCTAACTGTAACTATAATGCGGCTGTAATGCTGTTAAGGACTGGTGTGTAAATTATAAAATGAACCTAATAAGAAGAATACTCCTGGTGCGTGTTAACGCGATGGCAGGTGCCGCGTTCGTCGCACGTACCTGGTTCCTGTACAGCGCACTTGCTCGCACGTACCTGGTGCGTGCACAACGCGCTCACTAGCACATATCTGGTGCGTGTATAGCGCGCTCGTCAGCAGTGGCGTGCGCGAGTAGCAGACGTCCCGGTGGCAGGGGCCGCGCTAGTCGCACTTACCTGGTGCGTGTATAGCGTGCTTGCTCGCACGTACCTGGTGCGTGTATAGCGCGCTCGCTCGCACCAGAGCACGAGCGAGCGCGAGCGCGTGCGCGGGCGGCACGCGCTCGTCGGCCGTGGCGTGGGCGAGCAGCAGGCGGCGCGGCGGCAGGTTGCCCGCGCGCCGCCACAGCGCGCCCGCCGCCGCGCCCGCCGCGCCGCCGCCGTGCCGCTCCGTCCAGTACGAGTCTGTACGATTGCAATTTTAGCCATCAACTGCAGTTTATCAAAAGTATACTACTATATACTATTTAATAATTGGCATCCCGACTAAATTATCTCATAGAGAGATATTTGCCATAGCTGTCGCATATTGCCGCTTCGCAGATGGGTGAACGATCGCAATTTTGAATATTTTAAGGTGTAATCAGAAAGATTTTTTCTTAACTTGAACTTTATCATTGACATTTATTGCTAATATAAGAAATAGTACCCGGTTGACCGAGCTTTGCTCGGTATTTTTCGCTCGGTTTTTTTTAATTCGTGTGTTTTGAAAATTATATTTAGATACAAATTACATACTGATGAAATACGAATAATATTTTTTGATCTTAGCGACATAATAAAAAAAACTGAACTGGTTATTTGAATAAAAATCATGAGTGCATTTAGTTTAATTTAAATTGTCGTGTTGTTTAAAATACTAAAAAAAAGGGCTCGAAAAAATAGATTTTCTCAAAAAAAGAAAGGAACTTGAAAAAAAAAAATTAAAAAAGTCGGTCGGTCAGTCTGGGCTCGAACCATGGTATTACGATTATGTGACCGCCAAATATACCAATTAAGCTATTTGTAATCATTAATAAACTGTCAAAATTTATCTTCCTATTCTAACGATATGGTGGCAGTTTTTCATTGCCTAAAAACATGGACAAAAAGACATTTTCTAAAAATAAATCCTAGCTAGATCGATTTATTGCCCCTTAAACTCCCTGCACACAAAATTTTATGAAAATCGTTGGAGCCGTTTCCGAGATTCCGAATATATATATACAAGAATTGCTCGTTTAAAGGTATAGGATATATTACAATGAAAACACTAATGCCTCATTTACACTCAGTCTTGTTGGGAAGGGAAGTGAGAGGGGAAGTGGGTAGGGCTGTATAAGCTACTCGCGCTGCCACTGCCCGGCGCTTCCTCGATTGTCGGTTTTTCACGCGAAGTCAAAGGACGGGCAGCGCGACCACGAACGAGTGCTTACATTCTCGCTCACTTGCTGCCGAAATTCGACCGAAAAAGAACGTGCTACTTTTAAAAACGGCAATTCATTTACTAATCCGTTCTGTGTTTAAATGATATTTAGTAATGATAAATCAAATAAATTTTTAAAATTTTATGTAATTAAGCGGGTAATATGGGATCCACATGATAAAAATCATAATTTGCACGTAGTAGCTACTTACACTGAACAGACATAATGCTGTTACACCAACAAACTCGGCGTCAGTCATTGTTGTGAGTTGATCGATAAAGAAGTAAGAAGGCTGAGTGTAAACACCCACTCTCGACGTTATTGCCGCAGAAGTATTTACGAAAATATTTCCGGCAGCGACAGGAGCAGTAGCAGTGGCTGAGTGTAAATGGGGCATTAAATTACCATACAATCAATCTCCCTACGATACAATATCCAGAAATCTAGCGACGTCACCTAGCTAAATAGCTATACATAGCCATTTAATATACCAGGTCTGAAAAGAGAACGACACCGGCAAGGCAGCGCATGACACTGTGAGTGTGTGCAGAGCATAGCGTGTATAGAGTTTGCACAGATACAGAGTAGACGCGTACTGTGGTGCCGCAGGTCGGCGAGTGGAGCGACGGCGGCGAGACAGCGTGTGACATTGCGCGCGTCGCCTGCTGCCACCGCGGCCGCCGCACCGCCACCGTAGCCACGTCCCCATGCTCCTACCCGTCCACCATCTACCATCTTCAAGTTGTCGCGCAGATACCTGCCATCAAGAACAAAATATCAATTAATGCCGAATTCGTGTGAAATTATTTGTCCTCAGGTAGTGTAGGAACACTGCAAAAGAAACTTTGGCATAACACACATAATATTTTTATTTTAGTTTTTATTTATTTATCAGAAAACTACAACATGACTAAAATAATAATATAAAACTTTACTTAGTCCTAAATAAAGCTAATTACAGTTTTCTTACGTTAAAATCATAACTGAAACGTACGAACAAAAAGGCTGATATATATATATATGATTTTACATAAGCTTTAGCCAGTGGTTTTAAAACGACTAGATTTAATGTACGCCCGTAATAGTGTTGGAGTCTTTGTAATACCTTCTTGCATTTTCTCTACGTAGAAATTACAACACTCCTTCTCTCCTTCTACTCCTTCTTTCCCAGCTCGTCATAATCACTTAGATTCTTGTACTTTTTCCGCCTGGTGTGCACCGAACTTTTAAGCTATTGCATAGCTTCTATCGCGGGCCTTGAGTGCGGGAAAATCCAGAAATTTCGTAACGAAAAAAACCTCACGCTCTCCGACGGGCACGGAGGTGTGGCTTGAAGGCCGTGCATTGTCTAACGATGGTCTAACGCCGTTTCTTTTCCTCAGTCTTCGACACGGTGTTTGTGTATAAAGTGTTTTGAAATTTTGAATATGAATGAACAAAGTGCATTTATTATTAATGAAGAAAGTCACGAAAAAATAGTGAAAGAAAATGAGTGAGTACTCTATATACATACCTACATTTTATTATTATCATAAATGCAGTACTAATTTTGAATTGAAAATATAATACTGCTATAAAGATAACCTAAATTTTTGATATTAAAATGAGCGATATTAAAAGTAGCCCTCTTTATATACACACAAACACACACACGCGTATAGTTTAAATTCTCAATTTAGATTCTCAATATGTATATATATACTCGATTAACCGGACTAATTGTTGCCGTTAGGGATTCGGATAATCGAAAATCCGGATGATCGAATGAAGGAAAGCGGGTTTTGTGCATTTGTAGTACATATGTACATACATAATGTTATGTGTTTATTAAAAACAACAATTTCAACGAAAATCAATGTTTATTAAGAAATTATTATTTTTTAATAAACATTGATTAAATTCCATGAAGAGATATAAATCTATATAACCATCCGTTACTTGCGACAAACGAGCCGCCATCACCTAATTTTTTATTTAACTGTAATGCTTTTTCACAAAGCAAAGGGCCAGATATCATTTGCCCAGTTGATCGTTTTTGTAAAAACCAACAATACAAAGCGTCTTCTAATTGCCAATTTACTCGCGGACATAGGTCCTTATGTCCGGGACGGGGGTTTGTTAGCGCCTGATAGTAGATCGTCTTATCTCAAGCGGTGTGAAGCGACGATTAGTGAGGTGCGGGAGGGGGAGGCTAGCTGCATTTGTGCGCGCGGTCGGTCACCCCTAAAGTTGGGCGTTATAACATACAACAGATAATATATTTCATTATATATTTTTAATCTTACAACACATTAGAATAATGAACCATTGACTGTTATAATATTATATTCATTATCGTTAGAAAGCGTCATCTGTTTACGTTTACGGTCCAACCGTCGCGTCGGCCGAGACAATGGGAGTCAATAAAATACTACCTACATTCATTATGCCACAAGGATTGCGTATAGCTTACACTAATTTAAACTCTAAGCTAACTTAATAAGAGCTTATTTTACTAACACAAACGCGAAGCCGGGTTGTTCATATATTGAAAGTCTCCTTGTTTTGTCTTAGACTTATGTTAATAGAGCGTGCCTTTGAACTTAAAGACAATTAATTGGACAATAAATAATAAGTGACAAATCTTGCCGTGGAGCGTGGAACTGAGTAGTTGCGCGTCTTGTTAATATAATTGCCGTACGGCCGCCCTGACGTATGTACTGCGCGAACCTGAGTTTTTTGCGACGCGGTCCGGTGATACAGTATTTTTCACAAATAGTGAAACGCGGGTTCGGTTAAATCTGGTTGAATTTGATTGGATTAACCTAAGTAACTTGAATTAATATCAAAGAAAAAGAAATACTGCATAAATAAAATAAATAAATAATTATAATTGCATAAGTTGATACAAAATGCTATGCAATAGCTTTACCGCGGCAGTCCCCGAGTGCCACACGTCTTTTTTTTATTTAATAATGGCTATAAGTGATTTTGAAAACCATACCGGGGTTATATCGTCTTAATAATTTGTACTTTGCGACGAATTTTCCTATGATTTAGTATAATTCAATATATAATATATCGACGCTCTCTTCGGTTAATTTACTACTCAACTAGCTGACCCAGTAGGCGTTATTCTGCCCTTTCTGGCTGGTTACGCGATGAGTTTCATTTACATACGCACACTTTTCTATAGACTTATTTAACATAATACGTATAGCTAAATACTTTTTATAACTAATAGAACCACCACAACTGTTATGACAGTAAACTTCTAATTCATTATTTATACTTTCATACTCGTAGTCCCTTTTATAAAAGTTATGCTTAATCTGTGGTTAAGATTTACGATCAGAAACTAGAATTTCAGAAGCATCTACTTCTGTTACTGTATGAAAATGATCTTCTAAAAGTAAGGGTGTATGTGGGTCGAAAGCTTTTAGGTGTGTATTACTGATTAATAAGTAGCGATACGTATTGCTCAGATGCCCAGTGTACGAACTGCAATGCTTAAAATATTCATACCAGTTCTACGCCATCCCGACTAAACTTTAATCTTTCTAAAGGCTACACCTAAATGCAACATACCGACTATCACATGTTTCGTTTGATGAAAAACTTTCATTTAGCAACGTCTCTGTAAATAAGATTAAAACGTAATCATTCAGTAAGTCATTTCGGTATAGTTAACTTTGGTTCGTAAACCCCGAACGTTTTGATAGTTAATGCGCTACGTATTTGAATGAATGAGGAAAACTAGTAATAATATTAATATAATCTGTTAAAATAATAAGATAATTATTTTGGTTTACCAAATCTGTCAAGATCCCTGTATTAAATACATTTCTGAATGAGAAATTAGAGAAAACTATATGTAACATCACTGATAAGAGATAAGTTTGGGTTATAATGTGTGTGTGTGCGTGTGCGTGTGCAAGTGCGTGTGCGTGTGCGTGTGCGTGTGCGTGTGCGTGTAACGGTGTAAAATGTAACAATGATCAAGAAGTAAATAATCGAGCATACACATATAAAATTAATAAATACAATTGTTGATAACTATAATTAATGATAATATTATATGGTTAATGAATCTAAAGTGAAATATTATGTTCTAATTATTTTCGACAAATCTTTTTCCGAAGTTATGATGACATAACCGCTGACTCTTCTTTCTTTACGGTAAAGATTTGACGGTTTTTTGTCCATACAAAATTGTACGCCAATTCTGTTGCCTTTTATTATGATATGCATTATATGTTCGCATTATGACAAATTGTGGAAACATCTGCGTAGTAGCTTAAATTGATAAGAAATAATACTCATAATACCTACGAATGTTTATAACGAGCTGATTATGAATGAATTTTGCGTTATCCGGGTGCCTCCCAACTTAAATACTGCTTCCAGGCTCGGAATAATTTCATCTGGCAAATTTCCTGCCTTTTGCTTTCTGTCCTTGCATGAAGAATGAATTTTTACTGGCCGATGATGACTGGTAACAAGGCATTTCATCTTATTCTTCAGGGGTGACAACGCATCTGCATTTGATATTTAATTAAGGATAAATGTAAATGTCCGGACCACAGCATCATGTGGGCTGTGTGCCCGTTTTTACTCTTATTTTATTACAAAGAACTAAAAATGTCTAAAGGAATTCAATACTTACGAAAGAACAGCTATTTGGTCTTCTACGTCAACTGATAACAATTTTTGATATATTTCTGTTCTGAGTTCTTCACCCTGAAAACAGAAATAATTATGATAAAATAATAAGTTCAGATACGATAATGCTCTACCCCATATCATCTCGTTGGTGTCGTAAGAAACTTAGGGAAACTGAACCAGTCTTCCTAAAATCAACAAAAAAACTGCAGTTGTCAGGTGTTTGCCAAACGCGGCAACCATCACAAACATCCTCCCTATAAGGCAATCTATGAGGGAGACGAAGATGCAGCAGTGAACTTTTGATAGGCTGTAACGGCACGGTAAGATAAATTTAAACTCAAACCTGGCCTCCGGAGCCTCTGGCATCAATTTCGGCTACGATGAAGTTTCTAGCGGCTGCCAAGTACCAACCCCAGTCTGGTTTCCATCTCTCGGTCACTAATTGTCCGCCTGGTTCCGCTGAACTGTAAAGAATAAAGGTTTATGCAGTAACATATTTTGTTTAATTTTACTACCCACTATTTCCCGTGGGTGTCGTATGAGAAGACAGAGGCAAACAAACCAGAGTATCATCTTTCTGTTAACAACTAAAAATTAAAAAAAATCTGTGCTTGCCCACACGACTGCATTTTTATATACAATATATAACAAAAGCCCTGTGGTTCCCGTTAAGTGTGTTATCAGAATCAGTATTCAAACGTATAGAAATAATTTTACTTCAGAAAATTCGACATAAAAAAAATTCAATTAAATTTTAATTACATAATATTTGTAAATTTTATGTGATTGATTGACTCTGTCTGGAATTATCAAGAGCCAAACGCAGCAGCAAGCAGTGGCAGCCGGCGGCGGCATACATCAAAGACAGGGCGCTTTGGTGCTTTAGTACTCGATCACAATTTTAAATTTTATTTCGACCGATTATGGTAATTATGCACAATCATTAATTTATCACTATGTGGAGTAGCAAAGTACTGTCACATTTCCCGAGACACATTAACCTTTTAAAATATCCCTCGTTTGAGTTTGAGAGCTTTGCACACAAGTCACCTACGGCGGACATTAAATTGCGCAATATAAAAAACAGATTCGTACGGAAGTAAATTACGCGGGTGACAACAGCTATCAATACTGGTGATTTTGTTTTTTGTGCGTGGAAATGAAAAGCGACTGTACTCTACAACATAATTTTGATATTTTCTAAATCGAGGCAATTTGTTGAGATTTTTGATCGATTTTGGTAGAAATAGTGATTATTTATTTATTTACTTCAGGTAGAGCCCGTAAATGTTATTAACAAATTAAATTATAGGAAAGATTTGTAGAAATATATTTAAAAACTACAATAACATGAAACATTTTAAAAATTGTGGGATAAATCCACACCATGACATATACTTAAACTGTTATGCTGCTGTATTTTTCAAAATCTACTAATTAGAATTTTTTGTTGACCGTTTATTGGGACAAAATTTTATGTTTATAAAACTTCCCACGTTTTTAAATATTACAACTAAATATGAGCACAGAATAAATAATAGATACTAGGTAGATCAAAGTAAATGGATAAAAATAAGTTAGTCGGCATATGGTGGACTTACCTTTGATCACTCGAAGGGTGGGGTTTTTTGGGTCTTTCGTATACCTAAGTTTGCGGTGTTTCAGAGGACCTAATGCATGTCTTGATGAATTGTGCCAACAACGCTGCCTTTCGTATTGATAAGTGCCACCACATTTTTCGCTGATTGTAATATAATTTTAGCTAAGCCACATTCTGACGATATAAAAATATTAGTCAAACTTTACAAGGTGAAGTTCTTGGATCGATCACTCACTTCTCAATGTGATTGATCTGGGAATTTTTCATTTTACTTTTTGTACCTAACTAAATGCATATCTTCTTCAACTTTCTGTAAATAATTATTGATTTGAGATCTTTATAATGTAATAAGTTTAAGCATACCTAATGTAATTGTTTTTTTGGTGATGAATTAACGGAGCAACATATTCATATTGTGACTAAGCTCATTAATAAAGAAATAAAAAAAAATACCTAAGTCTTTCGACGGCTAACAGTTTTGAGTTTGAGGAGCGCGCGAAATGCTGCGTATTTTATAGTAATTTTGTTTTAAATCAATAATATGAATTTATTTAAAAATAATTCCTGCTACATATTCTTTATCGAATAAAATTTCATAAGAGACAATATATACTAATTAGTCCTGTAGCGGCGCTATCGTCGCGCCGCAAGCGAAACACACCGAAGGCTAAATCACGCTATCAACATTCCGAATCATAAACAGTATATATAGAACATCTCCAAACTATCACATTTGCGCCCTCCTTTCTGCCAAGGAGGGTCGCGTTCGTATACGGCTTAGAGATCTCTAGTTAGACCGTTAAGCCAGTCCCTAAAAGGTGGGGTTTAGTGGGTAAAAGTCTCTACATAACCACGCAGCCGGCTGCGTGGTATGCTATGAGCATTCCCCACCTCCCTCCCCCGTTTTTCGGAGGGTTGCCCATATTTGCTTCGGGCGCAAAAAAAAAACTATCACATGGAGTGTCGGCCGCTCCCCGGGCACAACACCTTGCCCGGCGGGAGATCTCCTTTTTACTACTACGGCCACAGTCCTATAAACAGTTGCGAATTTGGAATTTATTACGATATTTTATGCTTAAAATAACTTTTTTTTGATATTTCTCCCAGATCTATTTAGTAATAAAGTGGAAAGTTATAACGTAAGTATTCAAATATAATGTGTATTGGGATTGAAAAAACCTCGAAAGTCCTCGAAAAACCTGAAGAGTCCATTGGGTGTAGCACCATCTGCACAGCATGTTCTTAACAACAACTGGATCCAAAGAAAAAAAACTGCGATTTCCAACCCGCCTGTCAAAAGTGGAAAGTGTGGCAAATACTTTTATTTATATATATATATATATATATATATATATATATATATATATATATATATATATATATATATATATATATATATATATATATATATATAATCAGTATCAGTAATTAGTAAGATATTATAAAATATAAAATAAATATTAATATATTAAATATTATTAGGTAATCAAGGAGGGAAATTAAATATTAATAAACTGCCAGCACATTATTAAATATATATATATATATATATATATATATTTGAAAAGGAACTCAGGTTCGGTGTCCTCTTGATCCTGAAAAGGACCAATTGAAAAGGACCTAGCGGATCGGGTACTAAGAAACAGGAATCGAGGCTTCTCTCGATCCGGCCTCCTATAACGCCTACGTTGGGTTCGGGAACAACGTATGTGATCTCCGCAACGGAGTAACACACTAGGGCGATAACCTCTTCCTTTTCAGCAAGTAGGTTCAGACGGGGATTACGGGTCTTCCGAAGTCGTCCCGGTCCCGACGCCTTAATTCTTCGATGTGGACTGTATAACTTAAAGGATCTTGGGAATGAAACAGCAATTATCTTCAAACCGTTCCGTGAGAGAGTAATCACTTTTCCCTATACTGCTGGTTTTTCACTTTTCTTGAACTTTTCCTCGGATTTTCTTATTTATTTCCGAACTATTTCCGAACTTCCCCGAAGGATTCCCGAACTATTTCCGAACTTCCCCGAAGGATTCCCGAACTATTTCCGAACTTCCCCGAACGAATTGCAATAAAACCCGTTCACTAAGCTACCCCAGAGCTATACGCGAAAGTGAGCCGCGCCATCTGCGCGCTTGCGCAACTTAATTACATGAATTTGTACTATTACTCTCTCACGTTTCACTCAATATCTTTATTTATTCAAATCATATACAAATACAATTTATCAATATAGGTAGTACAAAACAATATCTACACCATGATATACATCATATCTTCATATCATAAAAAACCTTTTATTTATTAAACGAAAACTGCCTATTTTACTCACAAGTTCGAAATCGAAATTTCTTAAATATTTAACACAGAAAGTTAAAACAATGTTTCTCACTTGAATTTATACATAAGCTAACCAATACAATAGTTTAATTTACATTTTTTTCTATTTACTTCACTATTAAAACACTTTTAAATTTCTTATACAAAACTATCATTATTTCACTTATACACAGGAATTTTCACATGAAAATAACACAGAATTTACCTTTTTAGCACGTACAATTAACCTGAAATATTTTACAAGTAATTTTTACATAAATCACTGAATTACAAACATTTTAAATTTTTACATATTCGGCCTCCTAAGGGCGTGGCCAGCGTGCTTCCGTGTACTCGCGCTAGGTGAACAACTAACTTTGCACGGCTCTCGGCTATCAGAAAAAATTAAATTATGAAATACACCAATTTTGACCATATTAGGCAAATTAAATGCTTTTATACAATTTTCGAACTGTATGAAACTATCTTTAATCAGATAACAATATAAATGAATGTTCTCATTAATCAATCATAACAAATAGGCATTTGTTTTCGTACAAAACGTATCAAACTTATACAAAACAACATTTATGCAATTAATATCCATTAATTCTGCCTATGCACAGAGTGATTATCTCGACCGGGGAACAAATCCGGTAACATAATTTATATCTTAAATTCCTTACGAATTTATTAAGCGATATTACTTAGGAAAACAAACAAACTAGTCCGGCCTGGGAGTCGAACCCAAGACCTTCATATCATTAATTCGACATTTCTTAAAGATTTAACTAAGCATTCTCTTATCAGAGCGTCGTTGCTCGTGACTGCCCCTTTTTTCATAGCAACGTCATCGGTTGATTTAATAAACTGAAACATTTTTATAGGCGCGTCGCCAACAATCTCCCCCCCCCCCGTGCGTTAGCACCATCATTTGGGAGGCGTCGCGGGTACCAGGACTATTATTCTGGATGTAGGTCTCCTCAAGATACCTGTGCTAGTAATGACGTCAACCACTCTGGTGTGACCGTCTGGTCCCGGTAACGTTCTACTAATTTTACCTTTTGGCCACGTATTTCGTGGCAACGAATGATCTATTATCAAAACAATATCGCCTTCTTTAGGTTCCATGAACTTGCCGTTATCACCTGTTCGAGGTATTAACGTAGGCATGTATTCTTTCAGCCATCTTGTCCAAAAATGGTCGGCTAACCTCTGTGCAGCTTTCCAATTGAGTTGACCCGTCAGATGTCGCTCTAAAAATAATCCAGGTGGTCGATCACCACATGAGCGTCCCAGAAGAAAATGATTGGGTGTCAAACCCTCTTCAGGACTATCCATACTGAATGTTACCAGAGGTCTGGAATTTACCGTATGCTCTGCTTCTAAAAGTAACGTATGTAGAACCTCCTCTCGTGGGCTCTTCTCCTTAAGCGTAGCGGTCAACGCAATTTTAATCGATCTTACTAACCTCTCCCAGGCGCCACCCATGTGCGGTGCTCCCGGAGGTATAAATTTCCATTTAATATATTTCTTAAATGACTCGTT